GAAGAGCGCAATGATGGTGCCAACTTGGGCCAGTGAAGCAACATCCTCCACAACTAGATTGAAGAACAAAACGACAGCAACTTGTCTGTTCCCATCCCCCAATTCCCCAATAAAAATCTTAAAAAAAACCAAAAAAACTCACAACTGACGCATGGAGGGCACTGGTGAACCAGCTCATGATGCCCAAATAAATAAAGGGAGAAATGTTAGCTGTTTGCCCCACTTTTCCTCAATAAACTGTACCTCGGGGCAATCAAAATTGCAGAGAAATTTCTCTACAGAAGTTTTCCAGCTACATAGAAAAAAGCGATACTTCTAATAGCCACCTGTTGGAATCCCAAATGGAAAGAGATGGAGGTAATGATTAGGAGCTGTTTGCCCACTAGGGAACCACATGATTCCATTTACATGAAGTTCTAGAACAAAGTGGCAATTCTCATCTGGAAGGTGATTCTGACCCTGAGAGGACACTGGGCAATGTCTTGGGGACATTTTTGGTTGTCATGACTGGGGGTGCTCCTGGTACTGAGTAGGTGGAAACCAGAAATGCTGCTCAGCACCCCTTACTACTCAGGAAGGCCCGACAGAGAGTGACCTGGCCCTGAATATCAACAGTTGGGAAACCCTGATCTAGTCTGTCTTCAACTTTTCCCAGTTCTCCCAAATGTTTGGCTCCTCATTCAAACAAACCAGCTCTGGTCAGTCAGCCGGGGCCGAGCAACTGCTGCCCCCCGGACATAGCAGGGTGCCTAGTTACTCGCAGCTCTCATGGGCCATCGCTGCCGTGGGCAGCGGAGTTGACAACGTGGGCACGCTGAAAATCCCTGGCATGTGTGCATAGGAGGGCCAGCTATCGAAACAGGAGACAAGACCCACTGCAAGAGCCATGGGTGTGACAGAACAAGTAGAGACCATGAGTAGGACTAGCTACTTTGGTTCCAATGGTTTCATTCATCTTCATTCCTGCCCCCATGTGGTCTAGCCCCCATTTTTGCCAGCCTGGTCCCTTAGCTCCCCACCTTACCTCCCAGTCTGTCCTCCCCAAAACAGCCACCAGGGGGCAACTGTGAGCCCCTGAGTTAGGTCCAGTGCCTTCTCTGCCCACAGCTCTTCCTTGGGATAACAAGCCCAGACCTCCCAGTGGCCCAAACGGCCCTGCATGACCTGCCCCCATCCCCTCCATGCCCTCGTCTCACTTACTCTGTTCCAGCCACAGGGGTTCCTTGCTGTTCCTCCAACATACCAGGCAAGGTCCTCCCTCAGGATGAACTGTGCCCTTCTCCCAGTACCATTCTTTTGCTAGATATCCAGAGGGCTCCCTTCTACCTCCAGTTTTGTGCTCAAATGCCACCTTCCCATGAGGCCCCTTAAAATGCAACTCTCCTCATCTCTACTGTGTCCTGAAACCCTCCCCTGTCCCCTCTTGGCCAGCTCTTTTTTCTCTCAAGCTCGTCATTGATTCTACAAAGTAGAAGCTTCCATCTTGCTCACTGCTTGGGTTCCTGTGTCTAGAATAGGGCCTGTGCTCAGCAGGCGCTCAAGTCCCTCAGGAAAATCACTCAGATTCTCCTCTGTTGCTACCCTCACCACCCAGGCATTTATTTGTTCATGCAAATATTCATTCAAATGGACAGACTTTGGGTGGCTAAGAGGAGCCCCAAGTGGGAAGGTTCAGGCAGGGGTCCCAGGCCCATAGGCCACACTCACCCAGCTCGGAGTCTGTCATGGGCAGGTGGTTGTCCATCCACTCCTCTGACTTGCCCAGTACCGTGTCCACCCCGCTCAGCACCATCTGGCCCACACGGGACCCCATGACCGACTGAACACCACTGGTCACCATGGACTTGGTCATGTCCATACCACTCTGCATGGCTCCCCGGGTCACGTCTACCGCCCCTGTCACTCGGGTGGTCACCGTGTCCTTGGCGCTGGACACAGCTTCTCGGGCCCCTGACACCTTGGACGACACAAGTTCCTTGGTGTCTGCCAGGACCTATGAGACAGGCTAGCATCAGCATCTCTGCATTCTACATGGATGTGGTCCATCCATGCGATGGAATATTACTCAGCCTTGAAAAGGATATTCTGACACCTGCTACAATGTGGATGGACACTGAGGACGTTATGCTCAGTGAAATAAGCCAGTCACAGAAGGACAAACACTGTGATTCCACTCACAGGAGGTCCCCAGAGGAGTCAGAGTCATAGAGGCAGGAAGTAGATGCTGGTGCCAGGGGTTGGGGGAGTGGGGTGAGTGTTTAATGGGGTCAGAGAGTCAGTTTGGGAGATGGAAAGTTCTGGAGATGGATGGTGGGGGTGGTTGTATGACAATGTGAATGTGCTTAATGCCACTGAGCTGTACACTTAGAAGTGATTAAGATGATGAATTTTATGTTGTAGAATAACTAATGTAACTTGTACACAAATGTTAATGGCAATATTATTCATAATAGCCAAGAACTGGCTCAAATGTCCCAAATGTTCTAAAATGTCCATCAACGGATGAATGAATAAACAAAATGTCCATCCACATGCTGGAATATTACTCAGCCATGAAAAGGAGGGAGGCGCTGACACTCGCTACAATGTGGATGGACCTTGAACACACAGTGCTCATGAGAGAAGCCAGACACACAAGGCCACACAGTGTGTTATTACATTTATGTGAAATGTTCAGACAGGCACGTCCAGAGACAGGAAGTAAATCAGTGGTTGTCAGGGGCTGGGGTGTTTTATATGAGAAGAAAAGTAACAGCTAAGGGGTGTGAAGTTTCTTTTTGGGGTGATATTCTAAAATGGATGGTAATGGTTACAAATTAAAAGTAGCTACCTAAATTTACAATAATTAAAATTAGTAATTGAGTTCCTCAGTCACACCAAACACATTGTGAGGACTCAGTTGCCTCATTTGGCTGGTGGTTTCCATATTGGACAGTGCGGAGAAAACATGGATACCAGAGAAAGGTCTACTGGACAGTACTGAGCTAGAAGGACCTTCTTTAAGAGGGGAGGGAGGGCCTCTGAAGAGGTATGATTAGACCAGAGACCTGAAAACCTGGTCCACAAAGAAGGAACTGCACGTGCAAAGGTCCTGGGGTAGACCTGAGCCAGGTATGTTCATTGTCTTTTCCCCCACCTCCCCAGAATGAAAGTTCCATGAGGGTAAGAACTGTTTCCATCACCGTGTCCAGTACATCTGGGCAATGATGTTACAAAACACTGAATATGAAGGCCCGTGTTGGTGGTGTGAAGCAAGTGAGGTGGGTGATGAGGGCAGGGAGCCGGCGAGGCGAGATCATGTGAGACCAGGCAGGCTGTGAGGAGGGCTTTGGCTTTTTCTCTGGGAAAGGTGAGAGACACGAGGGGGTTTTGAGCAGATCTGGCTGGCATTTAGAACATTTGTCCATCTGCTCAGTGGGAAATAGATTCGGGGCATAGGGCGGCATACAGAAGAGGGGCCAGGGAGTAAGCTGTCATACCTTTCTATTCTAGTTAGGGTGGACCACACACTCAATACCTAGGTAGGTCCCTGTCCTCGCAGGGGCTCCCAATGGCGGAGGTCTGTTACCTTCTCTGTCTGCTGCTGTAGGATGGGCAGGTTCTCTTCCAGCTTATCCAGCCCCTTGTGGGCGTATTCGCTGGCTGTTGCAACTGCAGGGGGTACAAAACAGAACTATGATGGTTACCGCGCATGAGCATCCCTCGGGATCCTGGGAAGGTTAGCTGTTGCTGGTTTAGGGGAATAGGGCCAGGGGTGGGGCAGACCCCTGCAAAACAGCCAGAAGGGGAGGTTCCATGCTCTCGGGGCTTCACTCACTCTGGGGCTCCAGCTTGGACAGGATGGGCTGGGCCCCACTGACAGCGGCTGCTGTGAGGGTCTTCACGCCTTTCTCTGCCACATCACAGATGGTCTTGACGTGGGGGTGGTTCTCCTTGGTGGAGGTATAGGCCGCTGACACCATATTACAGGTGGAGTTGACGAGGGGCATGTTGGCCACACGGTCCACCACGCTGGGCTACAGGGGAGAAGCAGCTGAGACTGGTTAGGCTGGTGGTGGGGAGCCTGGGGGGGCTGGGCCCAAAACTTGGGAGGCCTGGAACTTTTGCTCTCACTCTCGGCCAGAGAAGTGGCTCAGCTCACCCTCTCTTGGCACCCACACGGTTGCACAAGGCAGGAACTTCGGGTTTCGCCACGTGCTTCCTTTATCTTAGCTCTGGAGCTCATTTGTTTGAACATGCCCTTGACACCCACTGTGTGCCAGGTAGTGACAAGAGACAAGTACCCCACTCTCACAGAGCTTAGGGTCTAAAACTGGGATCTGCAAATTGGACCACGGGCCAAGTCCAGCCCACCACCTGATTTTTTTATTCTTGTCTGTTTTTTTCTAAGAGTTCACTCGTCATATATTTCACCATTTTTAAAGCGCACAATTCAGTGTTTAGTGTATTCACAAGGTTGTAGAACTATCATCACTAATTGCAAGACATTTCCATATCACTCCACACCCATTAACAGTCAGTCACTCATTCTCCCCTCCCTCCAGGCCCGGCAACTACTGATCTGCTTTCTGTCTCTATGGATTTGCCTATTCTGGATGTTTCATATAAATGGAATCCTACATTCTGTGGCCTTTTGTGTCTGACTTCTTTCACTGAGTAATGTTTTCAAGGTTCGTCCATGTAGTAGCCTGTATCAGTGCTTCATTTTTTGTTTTAAAAATTGTAGTAAAATGTAGATAGCATAAAATTTACCATTTTAACCATTTTTAAGTATACAGCTCAGTGGCATTAAGTGTATCGTTGTGCAACCATTCCCACCACCCATCTCAGAACTTTTCCATCTTCCCAAACAGACGCTCTGTCCCCATTAAACACTTTATTCCTCCCAGCCCCTGGCACCACCAGCTACTTCCTGTCTCTATGGATTTGACTTGTCTGGGGACCTCCTGTGAGTGGAATCACATATTTGTCCTTTTGTGTCTGGCTTATTGCACTGATCATGATGTCCTCCAGGTTCATCTGCGTGTCAGTATTTCCTCCCTTTATATGGCTAAATAATATTCCGTTGCTCCCTGGTTTTGTAAATACAGCAACACCCATTCATTTATACATGGAACATGGCTGCTTTCACTTTATAAAAACGGAATTGAGTAGTTGCGACAGCCCTTCTGAGCTTCAGTTTCCATAAAATGGGAGGTTGCTCCTGTCCTGGAGTTGCAAAGATCATGCACGTAAAGATGCTGGCAGAAGAGTTAACTCTCACAGGGGCTGTTCATAGAACTTAATTGCCTATCCTGGGAGATGGATAGTATTACTCTAGTTTTACGGGAGGGTAAACTGAGGCCTCGTCACTCAAGATCACAAAACCAGAGGTTGCAAAGCTGGGCGTTGGACTTGGGCCATCTGCCTCCAGGCTATGTGGTCTCTTCAGAACCTAATAACAAATTTACCACAGGATCCAGCAATTCCACTCCTGGAAATCTACCCTAAAGATAGGAAAAACACACGTGTACACGAGACTTATACTTGAATGTTCTGAACCTTAAGAAAGAATATATCTGCCAGAAACCCTCCTTGTGGTTAATTGAGACCAAATTTATAATCAGAGCCTAGCAGCCATTGTTGATAGAGGCCCCTCATACGCACTGCATTGCAGGGAAAAGCCACAGACTGAGCTGCCAAGGCGCCTACACTGCTCCTGAATGCTGAGCCAAACACTGATAAAGGGGTTCCTAGAATTGTTTTTCGACCAATGGGCTGAGACTTGCCCATCCAATTGGAGCTGTGAAGCTATATCCTTATTTGCATCTGCATCTACCAATCAGAGTGGCTCCATAATGGCAGTCAGGACGCATAATTCTGACCAATCAGGACAGTGCTATGTGGCCTGACCAAACTGCCAATTTGGGTTTCTCATTTGCATAAAAATGGACCAATCAGGACCAGAATGGGCCCTCTATCCCACTTTTGGTTTCCAATAGAGACTATGTTCCTGGTTTGGAAACTGTTCACTTGAATGAAGTCTCTTCTTTCACTGCACCCCAGATTGGGGACTGTTGTTGGCATTAGATTGGTGGCAGCAACCTTTTGTTGACAGTTCATAGCAGTCTTATTCATAGTGGCCAAGAAGTGGAAACAACCCCAATGTCTAACAGTGAGCAGGTAAAAGAAAATGCGGTATAAAGTATGTTTTAAAAAATACATAGCTGGAGGGCCGGCTCAGTTGGTTAAGAGCTCACTCAAGAGTGTGAGCTCTGAGCAACAAGGTCACTGGTTTGATTCACGGCCCGAGCTGAGCTGCTGCTGAGCTGCCAACAGGTGGCAGGGTGGCTCAGCTTAAAAACAAAACAAAACAAAACAAAACAAAACAAAAAAAACCCCAAAAAATACATAGCTGGGCTGGTCGGATGGCTCAGTTGGTTAAGAGCTCGCTCAAGAGTTTGAGCTCTGAGCAACAACAGTTCGATTCCTGGCCCGAGATGAGCAGCTGCTGAGCTGCCAACAGGTGGCAGGATAGCTCAGCTTAAAAAAATAAAATAAAAAAATAAATAAATTACATAGCTTCGGGCCGGCCGAGTGGTGTGTTGGTGAGGAGTTGGCTTGGGACACCAGCTCTGAGAAGCAGGGCCCCGGTTCGGATACCACATGAGGGCCAGTGACACTGCACCCTCTACAGCTAAGATGGTGAACAACAGCTCAACCCAGAGCTGGGCTGCTGTGAGTCGCCAGCAATGGCGTAGGCTGCACTGGGGCTGGCCGGCCAAGGGCGTGAGCTGCCTTAAGCTGTCATGAGTGGCTGTTCAATGGCTGGTGAGCGACTGCCTCACCCAGGAAGAGCGCAATGATAATACCAACATGGGCCAGGGAAGTGATGTCCTCCACAACTAGACTGAAGAACAAAAGGACAGCAACTTGTCTGTTTCCCTTCCCCGATTCCCCAACGCTGTTCCCCTCCCTCAATTCCCCAATAAAATCTTTAAAAAACAAACAAACATAGTTTACAAATGGCCAATAGGTACATGAAAAGACGCACAACATCACTAATCATTTAGAGCGATGCAATTCAAAACTACAATGAGATACCACCTCACACCTCCCACATCTGTTAGGATGGCTGCTATAAAACAAAAACAAAATCAGAAAATAACAAGTGCTGGCGAGGATGTGGACAAATTGGAACCCGTGTGCACTGCTGGTGGGAATGCAAAATGGTACAGCTGCTGTGGGAAACATTATGGTAATTTCTCAAAAAACGAAAAATAGAATTACCATATGATCCAGCAATTCCACTTCTGAGCATACAGATGAAAGAATTGAAAACAGTGTCTTGAAGCCATATCTGTACACCTGTGTTCATAGCAGCATTATTTACAATAGCTTAAAATGTGCAAGCAACCCAAGTGTCCATTGACAGTTGAACAGATAAACACAGTATGGTCCATCCACACAAAGGAATATTACTCAGCCTTAGAAAGGAAGGATATTCTGACACCTGCTACAACATGGATTAACCTTGAGGACATGATGCTCAGTGAAATAAGCCAGACACAAAGGACAAATATTTTTGTCCACTTATGAGGTAAGTAACGCAGAAGCCTCAATTTTTATAAAATGATTTTATGATTTCATTTATATGAAATGTCCAGAATAGGTAAATCCACAGAGAGCAGAGTACTGGTTGCAGGGGCTGGGGGGAGGAGGGAATGGGAGTGACTATTAATGGGGATGGGATTTCCATTTGGAGTGATGAAAAAGTTCTGGAATTAGATAGTGGGGATGGTTGCACACTTGAATTTTCTTTTACCTCAATTTCAAAACAGGAATGAAGCACTGACACGCTACACGGAAGCCAGACACAAAAGGATGTAATGTTATGTGTCCATTTATACGAAATGTCCAAAATAGGAAAACCCATAGAGACATAAACTAGATGAGTGGTTGCCAAGGAGGAAGGGGGACTGGGGAGTGACTGGTAATGGGTATAGTGTCTCTTTTGGGGGGAGATGAAAAATGTTCTGAAATTGTATGGTGGTGATGGCTGCATAACTTGGTAGTTTACTAAAATTCAATGAGTAGTACCCTTCATAAGGGTGAATTTCATAGTATGTGGATGATACCTTAAGAGTTTATTAAAAGAGACCTTTATTTAAACTGGGGAGAGGGAAGAGGCATAGGGACTGACTTCCGGGAAGGAGGTCCCTCAGAGAACCTCCAGAGGCAGGGAACATTTAGTTTGGGGGGAGCCTGGCAGTTTCAAACAGTACCCCCGTCCTCCCAAGAGCCTTTGAGCTTCCAGGTTCTCCTGCTCCCATGTAGTGGGGCGCTTGTTATGAGTTTGTCTGCTGGCTGTCCCCCACCCACTCGCAAAGATATCCCTTGACCCCCATGTGCTGCCAGCAGCTCCCTGGCTCCTTGCCATGGTACCATGATGTGGACACCTCACCCCACAAAGCCCAGAGCTTCCTCACCTGCTGTACTGGTTCTTCTGCTGACACTGGGGTGCTGGCAGGGGCTTCTGTCTCAACGGTAGACATTTTTCAGAAGCACGCTCTGTGGACAGATGGACTAGTCAGGACATAGTCTGTCCTGCCCCTCCTTCCAGGGGGAAGTCCACATTCACACCTGCCCTCTGATCCCCCACCCCGCTCCCGTCACCATTTGTGAAAGCCCTGCCTCTCAATCACAGACATGTGCCTGTGGGCCTGTTGAAAAACAGGTGCTGACTCAGCAGAGCCAAGAACCTGCATTTCTAACAAGTTGATCTGAGGCGAGGTCAGGGTACAGCCAGCCCTCTCAGGATTCACCTGTATCAATACTCGAGAGAGAAACCCATGGTGCAAAACCTCTGTGGACAGCAATTTGCCAAGAGCTACCAGGTTTCAAGAGGCATCTTCCCTTTGACCCACAAACCTCACTTTGAGGACTGTCCCACACTTGTACTGCCATGTGGGCAGAGCCCTGTGTCGGTCATAAGACACTGGTAACAACCTGGTTGTCCAGCAGAAGGGGAATAAAGAAAATAAAAGGCTAGCCAAATGCCTGGGGGGGGGGGAAGAATGGAAATTTACATGTAATTGACGTGGACCAAGATACAGTTAAGAGACAAAAGGTATGAACTGGCAAAAGCAAAAGCATTTGCTTACATTGGCACAGAATCTTTAGAGACACAGGAAACTGTTAAAGGTTGCCACCTTTCAGGGAGGAAGATTGGGTAGCTGGGGCAGGCTTCTGACTTTTGAGCCAGGTATGTAATATTACCCGTTAAAAAAAAAAAAGGTTAAAAAGAAAAATAAGAAGCTGTTAGACCATGTCTAGCCCCACTGAAGACCAATCAAGTCAGACTCAGGGGTGTGGGAAGGGTGAGGGAGGCTCCCCAGGTGAATGTAATGCACACATTTGCACATGCGATAGAAGCCACAGGTGTACTCCATTTTCCTGGCCAGGTGAGGTGAGATGGGTAGAAGATCATTGCACTAGATTCTAGAAGTCCCGGCTCTGCCCACGCCATGCTACAATACTTTGAGCAAGGAGCTTCCTCTACACTAGCCTCAGTCTTCTCACCTATAAAATGGGGCTAACGGTAGTGCCTGCCTTACAGGTTGGTTCCCCAGCTATTTCTCAGGTGAGCCTGTTGAGCGCTCCTGACCTTGATTCTGAGTTTCCTTCCAAGGAAGGGGGCCCAGGTGTGTTTCAACATCCTCCAAGTGGAACCTGGTGTTTTAAGAGCACCGCTTCTGGAGTCCAAACCGGGTTTTAATCCCAGCTTTGCAGCTCACTAGCGGTGGGAGCTTGGGAAGGCAGCAGCCCCTCGGAGCCTTGCTTGCCACATCTATACAATAGGGATAGCCATTCCTAGGTCAGAGTCTCTGCGGATTGGAGGAGGCTGCACATGTGGCGCTTAGCCTGGAACATTGGAGTTGCTCAATAAACAGATCCATATTGCATCACTCCGGCTGGCTGCGGGGTGCAAAGGGTGAAGCCAGCCAGGAATGAACTTCCTGCTTACTGCACAGGTCCAACTGGAAAGTAGATGAGGAAACACACTTGGCCCTGGTGATCATCACCTGACTCCTATTATTTCCCTCACCTTCCTCAGAGCCTGAGCTCACCTGGGCAGCTTAGAAGTCCTCGCTCTCTGGGCCGGCCGAGTGTCTGTGTTGGGTAAGAGTTGGCTTGGGACGCCAGCTCTGAGAAGCACAGCCCCGGTTCCGATTCCACATGAGGGCCAGCAACGCTGCGCCCTCTACAGCTAAGATGCTGAACAACAGCTCGACCTGGAGCTGGGCTGCCATGAGTCGCCGGTGACAGCGCTGGCTGCAATGAAGCAGCAGTGGGCTGCCATAAGCTACCGTGAGCAGTCAGCAGCCAACAAGAGCTGCCAAGAGCCACCGTGAGCGGCCGTCCAGAAGCTGGCGACCGATCTGCCTCACCCGGGAACAACGCAATGATAATACCAACATGGGCCAGTGAAGCGACGTCCTCCACAACTAGACTGAAGAACCAAAGGACAGCAACTTGTCTGTTCTCCTTCCCCTGATTTCCCAGTGCAGTTCCCCTCCCCCAATTCCCCAATAAAATCTTAAAAAAAAAGTCCTCCCTCTCATCCCCTTTTGTCCATCAATCCCTTCAGGAACCGGTTTAACCAAGGGCAACCATTGCAGATGTCAGCCCCAGCTGCCAGAGAAGAGTAGGCTGGAATTGGATGGAATCGCGCAGCCTACGTGCTGCAGCCAGGATACACTAAGATCCAAGATACAAAGTTTCCAGAGGCCAAAGTCCCAGGCCCGGCCCTTCTTTTTCGTCCAGACAAAGGTTCCAAGGACTCAGATAAGGGGTAGGCCTTCCCCCAAGTCGCCTTAAGCAATCCGCTGGCCACACCACCCAGGGGAAGGGGCGGAGTTTGCCCTCGACCTCCCCACTGTCAGCTGGGGCAAGGAAGGGCCCCAGGCAGCAAAACCATTTTTTTTTTTTGCTAGGGGAGGGGCTGTGCTAGGCAGAAGAACTGCTCCCGGGTAAGAGGGGGTAAGTCTGAAGTCCCAGGGAGGGCGGGATTCCTGTGCAGGATGGGCTTCGGCTTACCTCCAAACTGAGTTTGCAAAGAAAGCACACTTTAAATTTGGAGAGGATGTGGTTGGGACGCGGGATTTGTCTCCCCCCCTGATACTGCCACTTCTAGGGGGCTTTTTCGCAACTAGTCCCGAAAGTCCCAGGAATAGAGAGAGTTTGAAAATCAAGGCTGTTCCAGAAGTTGGATTGGGGGAAAAAGGGAGGGGTGCTCAGCCCGGGCTGGAGGCCCTTCCCCCAGGCCGCAGAGACCAGCAGAGTCTCTGGTAAGGCCCTCCCCGCCCCTTCCTCCCCTGGGGCGCCCCAGGACTTGGCGGGCACCGCCCCCCACCTCAATCGGGCACCCCCGCCTCTCACCGCGGTCAGCGGGACGTCCCTGGCACGGCGGCCACGACTTTAAGGCCGGCTCCAAAACCGTCTTGGACCGGCCCAGGGCGGGATTTTATACTGGGGGGCGGGCGCCCAGGAGTGACGGGCCGGAGGACCAATTGTGTTGGGGGCCGCCAGGCCACGCCTCTCTCCGGCCCGGGACGTTGGAGCCACAAGTAAAGTCCAGGAAAGGTCGGACTTGGGGTGCCCCTTGTTGGGGAAAACTGTATACAAAGCCAGATCCAGCCAAGGGCGCCCTGGCCCCACCTAGAGACCTTATGAACTTGGTCCTGGGAGGTGAGTGTGACCCTGGGGTCCCACGGGCCCCCTTCTCTCCGGTGGCCAAACTGAGGCTGTGAGAACTCATTGCTCAGCGGCCATGCTCCCACCATGGGCACAAAGCTGAGGGAACCAAACCCGACCTAGCATTAATGAACAGCTTTAACCACAGCTGTGGGCAGATAGTTCAGTGCCTTCTGCCCACACTGACCTGTATAGCACCACTTAATTTTCCAATACTATGTGTCCCTTTGTCCCCAATTTTACAGATGAGAAAACTGAGGCACAGAAATGGCCTACTAGGGGCAAAGCAGGGACCAACTCCTGGATCTCTGACTCCTGGATCAACCCCTTCCTGAAGCTGCACCCATTCGGGGTGTGTTTTTTTTTCCCCCCTCCAAAAGAAACTAACCTCCATCCTCTTGGTCTATAAACCAGGCCTCAAATTCAGATGTCCCCAGGGGCCAACCAGGAAGTAAATGGGGTGGCAGTATACCCTGCCTAGACAGGCAAGGCGTTGCTGCATGGAGGCCCACCAGGGATTCATAGATCCACGGGAATTCCAGACTAGAAGCAGTGTCCCGCCTCTTAGAAAACTACTGGACCAAATAAAATCCAACTGGGGCCTTATGCAGTCTAGGGGCCACCAGTTTGCCACCTTTGTTAAATGATGTGGGTTGGGGTGGGACTTCTGGAACCCCCAGAAAGAACATGGAAAAAATTGGATGTCTGTGACTAAATGTATTTTATTGAGAGGGTCTAAACTCACGCTGTGCAACAGAGCTTTCTGAGACGTTAAAGGTCTAGAATTCTGCCCCATCCAATATGGTGGCCTCTAATAGCCTGTGGCTATTGCACACCAAGACGCTGAATATTCACATTTAAGTAACCACGTGCAGCTAGTTAGATTTGCAAGTGCGTCAGACCCCAAAATGATTTAAGCAATAAGCTATAGCAGATACAAATTTCACATTTGCTTGCAGGTCTTTTTTCCTACTCGTTCATTCATTCAACAATTTTTGTTGAGCTGATGTGCTGGGCACTGGGGACACAGCAGTGAGTAAAACAGATGCTGGCTTTGTGGCGTTCACCACCCAGTGGGAAAGACGGACAATAAACAAGATAAGTGAGTAAAATGCATAATGGGTCAGGTGGTGGTAAGTGCTACTGAGAAGAAAAGCAAAGGACTGGGAGCAAGAATGTGGGGTTTTAATAGGGTGATCAGGGGAGGCCTTTCTGAGTACCATTTGAACACTGAAGTGAGGGAGGAAAGGAAGGAGCCATGTAGAGATCGGGAAGAGTGTTTCTGATGAAGGGAACAGCATGTGCAAAGGCCCTGAGGCTGGACCATGCCTATCGAATTGGAGGTGCAGCCAGGAAGCCGAAGTGGCTGGAGCAGAGTGTGGGATGGGGAGAGGTGGAAGAGAGGGGGGTCAGGGATGTATAGAACTCAGAGAGGTGAAGTGACTTGTTCAAAGTCACACAGCTTGAAAGTCACTGGGAGATATGCCTGGTAGCCTTCAGCTTCCAAGTAGCCTTCAGTGCTGGGATGTGGTCAAAATATTCGTGGTCAAGGGGATGTAACCCAATTCTGAATTGGAAAATTAAGTCCTGGTGATTTTGCCCCGCATTTTCTGAACAAAATGACAGTTGTGCTCACCTCCTTTGCTGGTGTGGGGATCAACCCCCACCTCCAGTCCCTTGTGAGTGCAATCAGGGTCATTTGCCATTGGGCATGTGCATATGTGGGTGGGGGAGGGGAAGGAAAGAGCAGTTGCACCACTCCCTTTCCACCACCACTGTCCCCTCCTCCTGGAAGCCTTCCTGCCTACCTTCCCCAGCTCCCCCAAACTAGGGTTGCCAGATAAGCTACAGAATGCCCAGTTCAATTTGAATTTCAGGTCAACAATGACTACATTTTAGAGGTGTATCACATGCAGTACTTGGGATATACTTATACTAAAAAATTATTCATTGTTAATCTGAAATTCAAATGGAGCTGGGCATCCTTTTTATTTTGTTGGTTTTGCTAAATCTGACAACCCTACCCCAAACCCATTTCCCTCTCTCTGCTTAGCTATGTCTTCATGGAGACTCTGTCACCTCCCAGCCTTGGGGGAAGCTCCTGGAGGGCAACCCCTGTCCGACAGCCCCAGGGTGGGAGGTAAGAAATAGTTGCTGTTTTCTGAACTATTTCCTCCTCCTCCTTCTCCCTTTCCTCCTGCCTCTCCCTTCCTCCTCTTCCTCTTCTTCCCCCTCTTCCCCTTCTCCTCCCTCTCCTCTCCCTCTTCCCCCACTCTTCCTCCTCCTCTCCCTCATCCCCATTCTCCCTTCCTTCTCCTCTTCCTCCTTTCCCTCTTCCCCTCCACCTCTTCTAGTAGGAGGGCTCAGAAAACTCCAGTTCTTTTCCCCTGAGTGTAAGGGAGGAAGAGGCAGGCCAGTGTTGTGCCACAAGGTGGCGCTGCCGCTTCCTGATTGGTCTTTGCCTGGTCCAGGTGTCTGTGCCCTCTGACCCTTCCCTCCGTCCATCTATGTGTCAAGCATCTCCTAATATGTGTGAGCTATGTCAGGCCTGGCCTTGAGGACCCAGTGATCAGTGGATATTCAGCCATTCAACAAACAATTACTAAGCACCTCCTATGTGCCAGGCCTGGGCTGGGCAGTCTCAACCTCCAGGGCACTCTTGGTCCAGTGGGGAGACACAGTGGGGATCAGCAGGGCCACGTTAAGACCTCTGTGAGCCTGAGGCACTTTGCCATTGCAGGTCCCTCCCTCTATGAAAAAAATACTACAAATGATCTCTTACAACCAAGTTGGTATTATTTTATTCATTTTTTTCTTCTGACTTACAGAGAAATTAAAATGAAACCATTCTGTAGGTCCCTAAAAGTATTGTGGGCCCTGGGTCTCCTGTGTGATGGATGAGTTGGCTCTGGTGACCAAGTAGATAAAATAGAGGGTGATCAGGGCTGTGATGGGGGTTGCACAGGCATGGTTGAGCCCCCAGGAGGTACTGGTCCCAGGTGGGTGGGGGGTCGGGGGAGTCCTGGAAGGCTTCCAGGAGGAGATAGTATGTAAGTGGAGGCCTGAGAGATGAATAGGGGTCAGGCAGGTGAAGGTGCTGAAGAGCTTTTCCAGGCAGAGGGAACAGAGAGTGACGGTGCAGAGTGGGCTGAAGGGCAGAGAGTGGCGGGGACAGGAGTGTCAGGGAGGAGAGATGGGAGAAGAGATGGAGTTAGAGTCAGGTTGGCAAGGGACAGGCTGACAGAGTCCTGAGGGCATTAGGAGCCACAGAAGGGTCTAGAGCAGGGTCAGCAAGGGCAGGTTGGAGCACTTGAACGATCTCTCGGGCTGCTCTGTGGGTAAAGGAGACCTGAAAGAGGAAAACAAGCCCACCTGCTTCAGGTGAGTCTTGAAGAAAAGGTGGGACTTAAGAAGGACATTTCAGGCACAGTGATGCTTATTCATTCAGGAAGTATTTATTAAGTGCCTCTT